TTGGCAACTAACTCGGTCTCCCCGACACATACTTTATCTTGTTTTTATATTATGTAGAATGGTGATTATTTTATCATTATATTGATGTCTATTCTTAATAATATTAGTCGTTAAGAATATAATGACGTCATGTCATTATCCTTAGGAACTTATGCGTATACGCATTTCCTTCCGATACCGAGTACCTCATAATAATTTGACGTTTCATGCTCAATCGGTTTAATACAGAACTTTATAAAAAGTTATGACTACCAACTAAATATCCCAGAAGCAAGGCTGAGATGATAATGTGTGCTGTGTCTATCACTATATATCATTAACTAAAATATAATTAATATAATAATATATTGGCTATATAATCATTATAATAATTATAATAAAACTATTATGCGTATAATATCCCATCGATTGTATTTATTCATATCGGCACTTTATTCTGTGTGTAATGTTCCCTTAGGTACTATAAAATCGTTTCCATCACTGGAGAGGTCGCGGCGTCGATGACGATGACGAGGTCGTGTACATCACATACCGGAACGTTGTTATATCTTCCAGTAAGAACTTCCGCAGCTCATTATCTTATATAAATATACTTATATACAGTGAGTAAAATGTACACAGGTGTGTAATATTGTATGCGCAACTGAAATCGTGTATTCGTGATTTCATATATATCACATTGTTATTTTTATGGTCAACGGATAAAACTATGAATTTAGTCATCTCAAAGAGTGAATACTGATTTTTAACGACTTTTCGAGTCCATGGACATATTATGTTTATAGTATAGCGTAAATTATTGTTATTAGGTATACATAATTTATGTGATATATTTATTGTATTGTATTGTCTATCAAAATTCTCGTGACTGTTAGAAAATCCCCATGATATTATAGTTACCCGAGTCTAAGGTAATGTTTATTAGACACAGTAAAAAATATTTCCATACGTGGGAGTACGTTCGCGGTATTAAAGGTCGACGCATTGACTTTAATTATTTTTCCGAATCGAAGAATATTAATGAATAATAATACTGAAAAAGCATTATTTGATCAATATATTCATCAAACTATGAATATAACGGCGGAAAACGAATACTATGTAGGTAGGTACTCGTTTTTCAAACTTGGTATGTTTATGATGAGTTATGACACCATTATAATATTATTAAATATTATAATCATATTTGCGAAAACTGAAAATGATTGGAAATTAGATTTATATGTATCCATGCAGGGATCGAAGTTCTCAGAAAAATATTTTGCAATTAGTTTATGAAAACAAAAACATTATAATATGTCACAATTCAAAAAATAAAAACTTCAAAACTATAAAAATAAAAAATGATAAAAATTCTTATAGTGTATTAATATTTCTTGATAGTTGGTGTTGAATTTTAAACATTTTATCCTGTTTGCTCGTATAAGGAATTGTTTTAAGCCAACATTTATCGTATTGTTTTTCCTTTTCGCAGAATCCTTGTATTTTTGTTATGTATTGATTTTCTCGGATAAGGTATATAATAAATATAAATATATTTTTATTCAATTTTCTCCAAATATTATGGTTGGCTTTGAAAGGGATTCGATAAAAAAAAACATGTGCTAAAAAGTAATAAAGGTAATAAGTATCTATTAATAACTGTTAACTATTAACTAACCACCAATTATCCATTATCGTTATTACCTACTTAATAAGTTGTACCTATTATTCTCACGTACGCTTTTATCAGAATCATCCCAAATGGCTTTCTTTATTTTTAGTTCATTATTGTTCTATTTTCGTCATTTTCTATTAGCTAACTATATTTCCAAGATTTTTTTTTCTTATATAATATGTTCCTCTAATAAAATCTATATTTGATTATAATACTTGATTGAATTTAAGAAGGCATAAAAATATGGAATATTATGGACATATAGCCTAAGCCCTAAAGGCCAAAGAAATCGGGTGTAGGACTCTTGTGTCGTTCACTCACCTCGGCGCACTATACTGTTTTGTCTCTATATATAATAATACTATACATTTGATGAATCATTGTATTGGAAATTGACTTTGAATGGAGCTCAGATAAAAGCAAAGTTCCTTAAATTCCTCAAATGTTTTTGTATAGTTTTTTCATAGTTGATGAGCCTTAAACATACCTAGATAATTAAAATGTTACTTCATCAAATCACTTAAAAGCATTATTTCTTTATCATCTATGCAGTTTATCTTTCCAGTTTATATGCAGTACCTAGGTACTTGCAACTTTTGCATATTTTTACTATTCTAAATAGTAAATATTGTGTCCATCACATATAAATATCAATGAACATAAAAATATAACTTGTATAGGTACATATTTTTTGAGATTTTAGACATTGAAATGTTGTAGGTATTTGTCCATTTTCAAGTATTATAAAAATTGCATTCATTATTCAAGTGTCAACCAATAATATAATTTTACAAATTACAAGACACAATCTTACACGGTTAAATTATTCAAAAATTTACCATGGTGACTCGTAGACCTCGATGGTTATTTTACGATTTTACATTTACTGCACCGTGAATAGTTTTTGAATTTAACAGTCTGACTTCTGAAAGGTCATTTAATGTTATTTTAATTTTTAACGTAGAATTGTACTATACGATTTGAGATTTAATGGAAATATGATGATGAGGTACAAAAATAAGAGATTACTAGTTGAGTTATAATGATTAATAAATGAAAGTATTCTTCCATATAAATTATAACTATTACCACGTTCTAAACATCGAAGGTACATGGAACTAATTAATATAATTAATTATACTAAAAAGTCTGAATCAATCGATATTTGTTGATTTGTGGTTTCGTTGTATTAATTACCCAATCTATATAATCACCTATATATTTTGTAGTAGCTATACTTATTTATTTTTAAACCTATAATTAATATTAAGGTAAATTAAAAATCCTTAATCTGTATCATGATTTATTTATATATTATGTTTATTCAGGGTATCCCACGAGGATTTACCCATTGTGATATCTCCTGAGATAATAAATATATCATAAATCTGTTTTTTTTTTAGACTCACAAGGACTACACATATTTTATTTTAATTTTTGGTAAAAAAGTTAAAGAAGTTATTTTTATATTTTTATTTTTGAAACAATTGAAAATAGCTACCTATTTTATAAAGTTTATTTTTATGAAAATTATAACTTTTCAACATTTTATTTTCATTAATCTCATGATTTTTAATAAATTTTTTTAGTTTATAGGTAAAACGGCAAAAAACCGGTTTTTGTCCGGGCGTTGAGTCTCCCTCTACGACTAATGGGTATATCCTCATGGGGCACTATGTATATGATATAAGTAAACTCAATGGTTCAAAATGGTTATTCAAGAAAAAAAAATAATGTAGGTAATAAAAAGGAAATATAAATTTGCTTAAGGAATATAGAAATATTTACTTCAGATTTCTAATAATTATACTATGTACATTGTACATAGTCTTTACTCTTATACCATATCGAACAAAAAAGAGCATCTTTAATTTTTCTTATTAATTATTGTTTATTGGAGTTAAAGTATTCTGACACTTTTGTCAGTAATAATTAAAATTTTCTATGGTTTTTCCGTCTGTGTTTATAAAAAATAAAATATATTTATGTATTGCACTAGTGAAAGAAAATCAGTGTAGTAGTCAAGCTGACATGTTTTGTGCGAAGTGACTGGAGTTTTGATTAGGTTTAACTGAATATTAATGGAAGATTTAGTTTGCATTTTTGTAATGCATTTGTATAGCGTTAAAGCTAATATAAAGCGACATGCTTTGTGTGAAATGACTGAACTCATGATTTTGTTCAACTGGATATTCATCGGAGATTTACTTTAAAATGCGCTTGTATAATATTGTCATCATATCTAATAGGAAATGCCCCAAATGATATCTCCAAACTAAGGTTTTAGTATTAGTGTAGGTAATTGCCGTTTCGTTTCGAAATTTAGTAATTATGAATACGAAACTGTATTTCGACATAGGTAATCGATAAGTATCCGAGTAAGGTCAGATTTGTATTGATATAATATACTCTTCAACAATATGTTTACCGTTCCGTAAACATGCATTTCGCAGCGTTTTCCTTATCCCGAATATGTGTACAAATATTTAAAAAGCTGTTGAAGTAAAATAAACAAGATATTTTAATATCCTGACAATACTTGGTTTGGAGCAAATCACAATTATTGCTAAACCCACATAAAAGATAATATTTTTGATGATGTTGGTATATGGATATAAACCTATGTCTGGTAGTTCGTCTAACAGAGCGTGACATAGGTTACAGATCATTTTACTAAATATATGAAATATGACGCTATTTAGACTTTCTTATATTTACGTTTCACGTAATAGCTACTTCTTCGGTTACGATATTATATCTGCAAGTTTTGGATTCAATACGTTTTTACTGTAATTATATTTAGCTTTGAAACGGCAAAAGACAAAGAAATAAAACTTACTGTAAAAGGAAATGCTCAAAAATATTTCTGTCAACGGTCAACGGAATAATTCAGTGTTTGATGTTTTTACTTTTTACTCGGGTAACCCGAGTTACCCGAGTTTAGAACCAAGAAAATCTGATAAAACTGGTTATTATGGCACAATTCATTTTCATTTTATTTTATTAAGATAAATAGTAATTTATACAAATCGTTAGTTATAATGCAAGTTTGAATATAATTTTATAATTTAAAACTTATTAAAACTTAATACGAAACGTATTTAATTATAATAAGTTCGTTGTTTTTGAAATATTTACTTTGTTTGAAATATCAAAATATATTCAACTTGACAAAATGTAATGATCATTTGGTAAAAGTCTTTTCTCAGTAAAACGTTAAAATATGCTGTGTATTAGTTACGTAATTATAATAATTAAAAATGTTATTTTCAATTTTTGCATTAGTTGTATCAAGACGTTTTATGATTTCTGCTTCTCAAATATTTATTAAATAGGTACTTACAGATACGACGGTTGTCAGAAACATCAACATTTTGCAAAAGACGCGTTTGATCTTTGATATTGTTACTTTTAGTTACCTGTGATTAAAAAAAAAAAAAATAATCAATAGTTAAAGTCACGAAAAAAAATAGTATGACGTTCAAAACCAACAGTTGTTGCTTATATTTATATTTATGTTATAATGCTCGCACAGACGTTCCTGAACGTTTGAACTGGAAAAAATAATGAAAAAAATAACATCATAGAAGAAGATTGTGACAATGTGTTTGTGTGCATCAAAAGAACGTATAACTCAAGGCCGTTTACCATCGACCTTCAACTCGATCAAGCAAAAACTGAAAAACATCAGCAACTGCACTGGAGGAGGGGACCAACTCTATAGCCCTTGGCTGAACAGTAAGCACGTCTGCTGCTGCATCGTGTTTATTTGGTATATTATACTTGTTCAGTTGTTCAATCCCCACGCTCGTTTAATGTATAATATCATATTAAAAACACAATATTTATGATCTAAATTAACAATATTATATAACCAAAATAATATCTTTGTTGTCGTGTGCTCGTGCACATATATCTATACATATATATTGACAGGTTTAGAATGTATACAAATACAATATAATATAATATTATTATATTGTATTATATTATACGCCTAGAGAACTCTCAAATTTGAAAAGGGTTTTTTTTTACAATGTAAATATTACAATTCATGCCGCTGAAATAGCAATTAATTAAATACTACTGAATTGATAATATTAATTCTAATATAGCACGGTGTGCTTAAAATTTAAATTCTGAAATTCATTCATAGATATTATAATCCTGGAAATTTAAAAACGTGCATAAATAACTATAATGCTCTAATCTGCATTAAATTTCCGAGAGATCGAGAATAAAATATGTAATTTTTGTGCTACTATTATTTAACTAAAAAAGTGATTACATGTCAACTGAAAAATACCCAATATATTTCGGTTCATTGAAAATCTATTATTAAAAAATTATACTTAACATAAATTATAATTGTTGTTTTATATAGTTCATTTATAATCTGATTTTCTATAATTATTGCACGTTGAATATTGATTGAAATTTGAAACTTATTTTGTATAACTCGTTTAAAATACGTATTTAAATTTGTTTTTACTCGTATAATTAATTAATTTTAATTTTAAAAACTTTATGTTAAGCTTCGTTTCATAGTTATTTGCATAATTTAATGTTGTACTAATGTATTATATTATATACCTTTAATCTAAATTTATACGATCGATGATACTAAAATAGATATCAAACAATGTACAGAATATATATTAGGTAATTGCATTATTAATGGAGCTCTTTGAGTGACCCTGTATTTGAAATTACATATAATTATTAATTAATATTATATCAGATAAATTAGTTTTAGTTACAAAAAATGTCTACAATTATTATTGTGGTTATTGAAGAAAAAAATGTATTTTACTTCTATTGTTTTGAACTATCATTATACTATTATTACGCGTAAGATCATATTAATATTTAATTACTTGTTGTTAAATTTTACTTTTCTTTAAGTTTACTAATGATTTGCAAAACAGATAATATTAAAGATATATACATGCGCATGTTATTTGTTTAATTAGCGTCATAATTTGTTAATTACAAATCGCATCATTCTTTATGGTGTATATCAACGAATTTAAATAAACAGTAGGTAATTAGGATTTCATCAAGTTAAATACGATTATAATTTATAAGACTTAATTGAGGTATTAAATTATTGTAATTATTACCAAATAAACGTAGCTAACGAGTGTAACATATTATGGATAAAGATCGACTTGACGTGAATGTTTAGCAAAGTCATCAACATAGCATAGCTTTTCGACACTGATTAATAGTGTTATTGTAATTATTATAATATACCATTCATTTGATATATTGTTTTCTTATCGATTTCGTACTATAGATTAAAGCAAATACTACAATTTGAACCATTGGATAATCGAAAACTACATACCTAATATTTAATATTATGTATACATATATGATATATGTACAGAAGAATAATATTGCGTCCTCGAATTTCTACACGTTAATTTTAATGGCACATTATAATATTATATCCTGTTTTTTTTTAACTCGTCATAATATCATGTGTTTTGAACTGTTTACTAGCTATTAGAAATGAATACAATAGTGTTATTAATTATTTTTAGTTTTAATAATATTCAACACTTATTACATACCTATAATATTTATTTAAATGTAATTTGTTAATAAAGTAATCACCTATAAGTATCTTTAAGTTGGCAGGTTAAATTATTTGAAGAACGTTTCCCATATAAAATATTTAGCTTAATTTTCTATTTTTTTTTTACAAATGAATAAAGAGTAATGATAATCTTTTATTTTCCAATAATAATATTAATATTTATTTAGTAGGTACTTTTATTTTTTTTTTATCGATTTAACGCATACAAAAATAAATTACAACTCAATGCGTTAATCTTAATATAGTTTTATTAATATTTATTATGTTTAATTATTATTTTCAATTCTGACAAAATAAAGAGATCTACCTAGCTTTCGTCTAAATAATATTACATGATGCATAAGTATATGTTTTAGATATTTGTATTGTACTTGGCTGAACTAAATATTAGTTAATAACTTAATAAAACCTTCATTTTAGAAATGATCACTTACTCAAAGTTAAATATTATGTCTTTGTAAATTTGTTGTGAAAATAAACACTTAAGTAGTTAGGTATAGCTTTCGTTCACATGCATTACAACTCGACGATTACAATAATCACAGACTATTAACTAATAAGTAATAATATGGAAGTACGGCAATAATGAGTATTTCGATAATATAGTATGGTACATGAGATAATATTAAGTACATTGTATAGGTTATATACTTATATATTATAATATAATATAGTTTACAACATAGAGTAGCATATAGGTTTAGGTTATAATTGGGCTAGGATACTGTATATTATTTTAAAATGTCGTGTTTACTGTCGAATTACGTTGTACCTACTTGTATAACATAATGCAACCAAAAATTATACATCTGCGAGTCAGTTTGTTCGAATAAAAAATAATTACATAACACTGTTATATTATTATAAGTTGAAAACACGGGAATGAAGTAACGTGTAGGTAATGTGATGTTTACAAATGTATGGAGAAACATTGTGCTTGGAGTGAAGTGTGTGCAGAACAGTGGAAAGAAGAGTATATAGGACTAATAATGGTCTTTAAATATTATCAATTGTAATAATATAGATATTATAAACGGATAGAAAAAGCGAAGGGGTGGAATTTAAAATTAGTGTGTAGAAATTATTAACGGTTATTTTTATCTTTGCAGAGTCACTTATTGTGATCTGGCAGAGATTTTAAGAATTGGTCGACCCTCAAAATTGTTCGTATTAATACCGGCACAAAGTCCATATGTTAAGAGAATTAATTGGTATTTAATAACCATTGTGCATTCATCGAGGTTGTGGGTGCTCATGGACATATTATTTTAATACAGAAGGACTGTTGTGGCCAGTGATTAATTTTGCTCGATCTCTCAACCCCATTACCCGGGCGACAGTATTCCGATAAACCCTAAGAATTATACATCGCTATAGTATTGTTTTACATGAGTATGAGAAATTAGAATTAAATAATTTTATTTTTTATAGGTCATGTCGACAAGTTGTCAAGGTGGAGTGGACCAAAGTCAGCTAAAGTACTCGCCCAAAACACTCAGATTTGAGATTATGTCTCATTTCGTCAGGTAAGGAAAAAATTCAAAATGCTATTTTTTACACGAATATGTGTAATGTGTATCAATATATTATTATTTGTATCTTAAAAACATGGATATTTAGCAGTTAATAAATAAAAGCCATTTTCCATACGTATTGAAATATTTCACGTACATCTTGATATAGATAATTTATCATCAACAAACTTACTAATATAACTAGGTTCTATTATAGTACAATATAATATACAATACATTATGGATACTTTTCACTCGGTTTTTATTCAGTCTATATTATTATAGTATATAAGCTGTAGTGCTGTACATACAATTAAAAATGGAGCAAATGTTTCGTTTTTGCTTTCTCACGAACCACGTATTAAAGACTTCTTCAGGTTTTGTATCGGTTTCAGGATACTCGGGATATTGAGCAATGCTAATCCATTCAATCCTTGTCGATCCCAGTCAATCCTTTCCACAATAGACTTTAATTAATTTGAGTGACGACTGACGAGAAGGATTTTTTAGATTTACAGATAGTACGTAGGTACCTATAGTCACAGGAACTGTTGCAAATAATACCAATAGTACTTTAATATTTGGATGAAAAACTATTGTTGAAGAAGATAATAATCCTAAATCCTAACGCAGTTGCTATTTTATATACTATGATTCAGAATATAATACATTGTATAAAATGGTGTAAGTAAGTGAATTGTTCAAATTTATATCACATATTTATTAAGTACATTAATGAATTAGTTATAAAATGGTCGTTGAATAATATTATGATGTTAAGTGTATTAATACTTTAACTTGTTCTATTTTTATAAAACTTAAACCAATTTAATATATTATTTTATAAAACTTTACTCTATAAGCGTATTATGTTTTACTGTTACTATATGTATATATTGGAACATAATGTTTAATATACTATGGACCACTGCTATATTATTAATACGGTAAAAAATATCCAAATAATACATTATAATATTTCGCTATTTAAATATTATTACTGAGAAATAATTAGTGCTAAAACTATTCATTGACAAATATAATAATGATAAAAGTAGAAAAAAAACTTAGATAATATATATTTTATCTAATATAAAATATTCAGATTATAGAATTTTTAATTAAAAAAATGTAATATGTATGTGTATATATATATATATATATTTATAAATAAGTATGTTTTAATAATTGCAAAGTATTGTAGTAGGTATGGACTTAAAATGTAGACAAGGTGCGTATCCACGGCGAATCTGA